AGAGACAGAGAGGGGAATGTTGGGGGAAGGAACATTTCCACAATGGTCCGAACTGGACGTGCATACTTTTTCACAAGAAAGAAACCGGTCTTGAAGAGCTTTGTGTCAACAACAGCAGCTACAACAACAACGTCAACAATGGACACCCGCACCTGGCCAGCAAATATGGCCATACAGGTACAGGTAGTATATACATATGTAGACGGGGCCATCTTATCAGTAACGTTCGTTTTCTTTGCTGGTCATAAAATAACAACAACTGTGACAAGAGCAACAGGAACAACAACAACAGTAGCGAGATGAATGCCAATGCAAAGCGAGAGAAAATTGGAGAAGTCAACAAAACTTAAACGTCATTGCGTGTACATCAGATTCTAAATTATGAGAGAGAAACAATAATAAATATTAACTGTTTTCTGTTTTCATTTGATTGCATGCATTGTCAGCAATTTTGCTTTGTCTTTGTGCAACATTCCTGCCCCCGCCACGAGAAAAACGCGATTGCTGTGCTTTTCTATTGTGACGTCACTGATGGCGACGACGCAAATACTCATACACACACATGTAAGCGGTTACACTCTCACAACACACACAGTGTGCTGAAGTTTGCACAAAAAAAAGCCCAATAGAATAAGACAAAAAAGGGAAAGAATTAGCTGTGTCCAGCAACAAAAGTGCAACAATAAAAGCATGGAAGTATAGTGGAAACCACAATGGAATCGATAGTATAATTATAACTGTATTGGTGTCCATTATTATTGTTTTTGTTCTAGAGCCTTAAGTACTTGAATGACCCATTTTCCCCATGCTTTGTTGTCTGCAATTCAGATAGCACCTGTCCTTATGTATATTCGAGGTTAACACTTACCACGTTTGACTGCATCCTCGTAACTGATGCAAGCATGTTTAGATTCTTTTGTACCCATATTTGCCTACGGCAAATTCTTGAGTGCTGCTGCTCTGGCGTCGTCGTCGTCGTCTTGTGACTTCACTTCTTACATTTGTTTATGTTATTTGTTGCCGTTGTCGGGCCTTGAGGGTAAATCACAGACACAGAGTCATGTACATGCAAAATGCAAGTTTTTGTTGTATTTTATTTTGTAAAACACTTTGTTTTTTTGTCACACTTTCATTGCTTTACTAGTTTCGCGTTCGCTTGTATTTTTTAACTATCAGCGTTAAGTGTGACCACGCTCGTGACATAAAAAATACTGTAAGTTTGGGACATTAGAAAATAAGCAGCTGTTTGGCAGTTTTACTACAATCGAACAGCTGGCTGAATAGTTGTCTCAGCGCGTTTGGCAACACTACTTATCGATAAATCGTCTCGTTTTCGTCCTACACAACACTGCTACGTACCAATCATTTATTGTTCGGGCGTAATTAGAAAGCAATAATTAAGCGTAATTTTTACGTGTAACCAACAACAACACAGCACACAGATGCAAGTGCAGTACATACAAGTGTAAAACAGTGCGCGTCCATTTACCATTGCAATTTAAAGTGCTTAAAACTACGTCGCCATTTTTTGACATACACACAAAAGAAAACCACAGTCAGAGCTGAAAAAACCTGTGCGTGCTTGCGTGTGTTTATTTGTGTCTGCTGTGTGTGGTTACGTCTATGAATTTTTTATACATACCCTTCCTTACGTACATATAAATTAATACTACCCTGCGGCAGTAGCAGCAATAGTCAGTTATAGTAATTTAATAGCCGACATTAATGTAGTGTGTAATATTAATCGAAAACCACTGATTACCAACCACCGCCATATAACAAAAGCATCACCAGCAGTTATCGACGTGGACGATAACGCCAAAAAGGAAGAGAAGAAATTAAAGAGCAAATAGCTGCATCTTTATCTTTATCAGAAGAATCTGGCACAACCCTAAGCAAAACTGTGATTTAATCATACAAATACAACAACAGAAATACAATGGCCAAAACGTACGACTACCTGTTCAAATTGCTACTGATCGGCGATTCTGGAGTTGGCAAAACCTGCATATTGTTTCGATTCTCAGAGGATGCTTTCAATACGACGTTTATATCTACAATAGGTAAGTGTTATCAATATCCACCATGTATACAAAACACATAGGGGCAACAACAACAACAATAACAATATCAACATCAACATGAGCCAGCAAACCAAACATTTCAAAGTGCATACATCATCAGTCATAGCTCTCAGTCCGTCATCCTCAGTAATCAACATTGCTCTCTCTCTCTCTCTCGATTGCGCTCTTTTGCTCTGTGAAATTTTTTAATTAATTACGACGCCGCCGGGCAGCAATCGCACAAGCACAGACACAGACATACATTTGCGTATTCATGTTCATGCTCTCAATCTCGCCTCTTGGCTCAGCTGTAAGTAGCATGCACACAAACAGACATACACGAATACGTGACTCATTTTGTATGCTCTTTTTTTGTTCTCAGTAATGATATTTGTCATAATTATATCGTTGATGTTGTTGTTGTGCTTTGGACAAGGACGTAGTGCAAAGGGGAACAGCAACAACGCACCATAAGCAAAGCTAAAATAGAAAATGAAAGTGACCAATCTAAGATATTTTTAAATACAAATGAAAAACTACCAAACTTGTTGAGATATTATTTTGTATACGAATTAGATATCGATACTGCTTGTGTTTGTGTAGGCCAGTGTCATTGCACCACAATCGACTATTTTGTTTTTGTTTTTGGGCTATCTTCAAGTCTAGCGCAAAGTCGTTGCCGCTGATAAGCATCCGCTTTACAGTAAGTCTCATTGAGAGGGGTTCTATCCACTTGAAGCAGCACTGAGACACAACCCACACACATGGCACGAGCTCAGCAATTTGTCTATTTATATATTTGGCACATTTCCCTGCACTAATTCCAATTTGGGTTATTTACTTAACGACGCCAACGTCTCGAATCAATTGCGTATTTTCAACTGTTGTCTCTTGTGCTCTTCTGTTGTCTTAGTCTATGTACATATGTATGTAAGTACCTCTCTAACAGATGGAAGAGAGTAAACCAGCTGGCAGCTGCCAAAAATGATTTCAACTAATTTATTGCTGTTTTTACTTATCACGTGTCTTCTCTCCTCTCTTTATTCGCAGGTATCGATTTTAAAATTAGAACAATTGAATTGGATAACAAGAAAATCAAATTGCAAATATGGTAAGTTATCCATTAAAATCTATTTTTGAATATAAATGCTTTAATTGTAAATAATTTAAGGGACACTGCTGGCCAGGAGCGATTCCGGACGATCACCACGGCATATTACAGAGGTGCCATGGGCATTATGCTCGTGTATGACATAACACAAGAGAAATCGTTTGAGAATATCAAGAACTGGATACGAAATATCGAAGAGAATGCCGCAGCTGATGTTGAGAAAATGCTGTTGGGCAACAAATGCGAACTGAACGACAAGAGACAGGTAATCATTATGAAGCAAGAGCAATTCAGTTTAAAATTCTAAAAATGTGTTCAATTCATTTTGTAGGTTTCAAAGGAACGTGGCGAACAGTTAGCCATTGAGTATGGCATTAAATTCATGGAGACCTCCGCGAAAGCAAGCATCAATGTTGAAGAGGCTTTTCTCACGCTAGCCAGTGATATCAAAGCGAAAACGGAAAAACGAATGGTAAGTGGCAAAGAATCGTGGTCATCATCTATTTACACATTGTAATTGCTTTACTTGTGCAGGAGGCGAACAATCCACCGAAGGGCGGCCATCAGCTGAAACTAACAGAGATTCGAACAAAGGATAGTTGGCTGTCCAGATGCAGTTTGCTTTGACGTGGCAATGTGCGTGTGGCACTGATGCGGCATGGTGGAAATAATAATGATAATGTATGTGGTAGTAGTTTTCTTAACTCCTGTTAAGTCCCAATAACAACAACCAAGCGAGCAAACACCCCTGAATATGCAACATAATGAAATAATACATAATTATAATAATATAATAATAGAACAGATATAAAATTGTAAATGCGAACGAGACATGGCGATAAGAGATGTACGAAATATGCATAAATTTACATCTATACATATTCAATATTCATTAAACGTTAAAAAAAGGAAAAGAAGCAAAAAATAATGCGAGCATTGTGAGTAGCGTAAAGAAACTGAAAGATTAACGAAACAACAACAAAATTACAACCCGCCCACGCCCTGCCCTTTGCTCCGATCAGTTACAACTTTCATTTTACTATACTTTTCACTTTCCATGTATAATTTTTAAATTTTCTGTCGCAAGCCATGGTTGTTCACGATTTGTAAATCAATGACAAAACAATAAAGTAGAAAATAAATATATGTATTCATATATTATATACATATTTCATTTCCGCTTGCTCTACATCTATGCTCATTTATAAATGTTTAGTTGTATTTAATTTTTACACTTTTCGTTCAACAACAAACCACTCATGAAAGGCTCACAGATCGCAGGACCGCAATTTAGACTCAGACGCACAATTTTTATATCGATCCACTTAGATATTGCAAGTTCTAATAGTTGCGGGTGCTTCATAATACATTGTCAATAAACAGACCGTTAATCTTTAATGGAATCTATGAACATGATTAATATTTGTGCGAGTATATGGAAATAATAATTAATAAGATATGCGCATATGCAATACGAAGAAAACAATGCGAAGATAAAGGATAAATGCAGAGCAGTAAAATACATATTGTGAAATTAATTGATAACTAAATCTAAATGCATATTTGATATTAATTAATTAATTAATTATGTATGTACTTGTAATATTAATTATTAAACGTATACAATTTTATAAAATAAATCATGTGCAAAAATGCATTATTTATTATAAATTTACAATTTTCGGCAGAATTCTGTGACTATATCAAGTCCACATATAATAATACACATAATTTTTATTTAAACCATTTATATTTCATTTAAAGAATAGCAAGCAACTGCAGCTGAAAGAGTACGAATTATAATGATTTTCAAGAGTTCTTCATAGTTGTGATAAAAATTTCGATAGTCATTTATTAAATGCATAGATTTGGAAAATGCATTTTAATTTGTTGAAATCAGTTCTAGAAACGACAAACTGTTGGCTTAAATTAAAACATAGAATTGGAAAACTTAAGCGTAAATACAATTAATTGTAAGATTAGAATAATGAAGCAGAGCAAATCACACACACTACCAAGTGCACTCACAAAACACATCCACACTCAGAAAGACAGAGATTGGGACGACTGATAAGTTGACTCGAGACAGGTATTAGGATATGCGTCTCAGATACATACAAATTGAACAAGAAACGTAATGTATATATAATAATAAAAATATGTAAATAGTGGAAACATATAGGACATGATAGTATATATATCTATATATATAGCTAAGCAAATTGCACTAATTGTTGTGCGGGACGGCCCTCAAGATTGTTTTTGATGGGCTCCGGGTTACGCCTGCGGTATATTCTGGTAGTAGGTAGCGAGTATTTTCCAGGCCTGCGGCTCCATGAACCCATCGGGCGGACTAGCCCCGGTTTTGGCCAGTGTACGCATTTTGGTGCCAGAAATGAACTCGAATTGCTCCTTGCGTTCTGGTTCAAAGAAGGCCATGCGGCTGGCGGACTTATCATAGGCAGCCACCCGAAAAGGTAAGATCTGAAAGGATGAGAATATTGTAGTTAATTAATTTACAATTCATTGCAGTTTCACCATGCATTACACTCACCTCCATGCTGTCTAATCCTTGAGCCATTTTAAGCACACGTGCGCCGTGCGTTGCATCGTAAAGGTTGCCATCGGGATAAGCCTCTTTGTCTGGATGCGGCATACCAGCCGGATCGCGTCCCACAATATAGAAGTTGGCGCCCGCATTCATGCGCGCCTTCGCATGCCACTGCACCTCAGTGGGACCGGCGTACATCATGGGCGATGGGAATATGGCCAGCACGGTGTCCTCGCGTCGTAGGACTCCCGAATCGAGCACCGCCTGATGCTGCGCCATGCGCACCTGCAAAGGCACGTCATCGTCCTTGGTCCAGCCGCCAAGTGGATGSAGCAGCAGCACCGGCTGCTTGAAGCCACGCTCCAGCAGCTGTCGCTTGGTGTCCTGCATGAGCAGCGCGTGTCCATTGTGGATGGGATTACGCAGCTGGAAGGCGAAGATAGCATCCGCATTCATCTCCTTGAAGCGGGAGCGCAGCTCATTGGGCGTCAGCCGATACTGATCCAGACCATCTTTCCAGCGTATGCGCTCGATGACCGACAGCTCGCCGCCGACCAAATACTCGCCAGACTCGTACACCTGTTTGCTGTACGGATGATTGGGATTGCTGGTGCCAAACTGGCGACACACGCGTTCCTCTTTCCGCTGGAAATAGAACTCGGGGCGACGCAGTATGGCCACCGCTTGACCCTCGTGGTGCAGCGTAATGGCTGCCTCTCCTTCCAGGCGCTGCTTATCCGCTTCACTGGCGCTGAGTACGATGGGCACCGAGTGGTTCTCGCGGTAGGAGACATCTAAGCCACTCTGCAGCGTATTGAAATGCAGCGTCTGCAGATACTCGTCCTCTCGCATAAAGCCACGCAATGGATAAGCCCAGCCCTCTGAGAGTACCTGCACCCATTGGAGCTCAACGGTGCTAATCGATAGAGCCGGCAGGGACTTGGCCTCTTGTCTCAGCTCCTCCACTTCGCTAGCCTCGCTGGGATACAGCTCTGGCAGCAGATCCACATCCCGTAGCGAGCGTGGTATAATGCCCTCATGCTCCAGAAGTGCAACGAGCTGTTGCGTAGACTCGCGCACCGTGCAGTCGTGTGTACTGACTACCAGTTCCGGGTGCTGGGGTCGCTCATACTCCTGCGTGATGCCCGTGAAACCTTTGATGACACCCTCGCGCGCCTTCTTATACAACCCCTTGACATCGCGCGTTTCGCACACTGACAACGGCGTGTCCACAAAGATCTCGAAGAACTTCAGCCCCGCATCCTTGTGTATCTTGCGGGCCATCTCGCGATCGTCCGCAAAAGGCGAGACAAAACTGCAGATGGCTACGACGCCGCTATCAGCAAACAGCTTAGCCACCTCGCCCACCCGCCGTATATTCTCCTCCCGATCGGCCGGCGTAAAGCCCAGATTCTTATTCAAGCCGGTGCGTATATTATCGCCATCCAAGCCATAGGCGGGAATGCCTCGCGAGACCAGATACGCTTCCAGCTCAAAGGCAATCGACGTTTTGCCAGCGCCACTAAGACCTACAACAAAATTATGCCATTTACGTATAAGTTAAGAGTTAAGTTAAGTTAAGGTATAAATAAAATTAGAAATGATGGTTAAAAAAAACTATTGGCATTCAAAATTAATAAGATCTGTTGAATGAGAAACATATGATCTTCTTTTATTTATTTCTTTGAACATGATTTTTTCAGATTTCCTTTTTAAAGATCAGTTTGGGATCCACTATAATTATATTAATTATTTCAATATTCTTAGCTATATACCTGTTAGCCAGACGGTGCAGCCCCTGAAGCCGCGGCACAATCCCAAGTTCCTGCCCCGCGTCTCCCGGGTGACATGGTGCTTCTGTTCCGTCACATTCGTTGCGACCTGGAGGCACTGCAAAAGAAAACAAAATCAAATAGTTATGCCAATACAATAGAATTTTGCGTAGCTGCGGGCATTTCGAGAAATTAACATAAATTAATATTCATGCCCGACATCGGCTAGAGGCCCGAGACTCTTATTTTGACCCTAAGGCGCTATTTGTGCCGTTCGATTCGCTGAATCTGCACAGTTTGTTGACCCTCTTGGACGGGCTCACTCGCCAGCTCGCCAACTCGTGTGTAAAAAATCGCAAATGCTGTTACACAGAGGGAATATGAGATAATGATACGATATATATAAACATATATATGTGTATATACATGTGTATGTGCATATTCAATAGATAGATGACAGTAAATCATTACAAAGGCATTCAATAAGCGATCAATCCATGGAGCTTATATCAATACACCTTTGCCTTAAGAGAAATAATAAGTAGCTTATTACGAAAGAAGAGAAAATCTGTTCAAGATTCTATAGGAATGAAAATGTAAAACAAAAAAATTTAAAAAAAACTTGTAAGATTTACTGAAAAATATGTATGTATTGTTAATCAGCTTGGCTTAGAAAATATTGAATGTGAAATGTATTTATATCTTAAATACATTCCACATTCAATATTTTCTATCTTAAATACATTCCACATATTAATCACTTCTCTTCTATTAAAAATTGTTTAATTGTTGTTTTATAAATTAAATATTGCCACATATTTATCACTTTTCATCTATTAAAAACGTCAGTAAAAGACCGTCTAACTACACCATCTACAGGGTAAGCAAGAATCGACCTTCATCACAGAACTCAGTTCTATAATAGTTAGATTTTGTTGGCAATTCAATTTAGGTCAAGGCACACTTAACGTCAACTTGATTCTTAAACACATTTTATATTTTTTGCAAAGCACTTCAGTTCTTTTTATGAAACAGCTTAGAATGCGCAAGCGCACAGCTCTCAAATTGGCTTGGGAGCTTGAGCCATACCCTTCTTTTGATATGAGGGAAAAATCCAATGGGCGGATTGGGCATGATTTAGCTTTCTCTGCTTGATGCTAAACGGAATTTGTTATATTTGATGCACTTGAGCACTGGCCGAAGAAATGGAATAGATATATGTATATATATATAAGAGATGGTATTTTATCGAACGGAAATTGATCTCAGTTAAATATTCACGCAACGAGCACTGAAAGCGAACTGAAAGTTTTAATAAAATATTTACCGTGTTATATGTCGACCCGACCCGAACTAAGTCACCGAGAGCTATTGAGAGAGAAAGAGCGTCAAGCCGAGTGCTTCACGCTCGTCTGACTTTCGGCTCGGTTCCATCTGGTTTTAAGATCGGTTTTCTATCTGTTAAGCCAGGCAGTATTCGTTCATGTATTTCTGTTTGTTGTGTTTACTTTATTATGAAAGAGTGTTTAACAATTTGTCTATCCATTGTTTTTTTTCTTCTTTACTAGTTTTCGCCTGAATTATTAAAGAGTTAAAAATACAATTATATTTTTTATCATTAAATACAAGTTTCTTTTAGCTAAGATTCTCAGAGCAAGTCAAGCAAGAAATAGTGTATAAAAGAAAAAAAAAAAAAAAAACTAAAAAAAAGTTTCTACATATAAGAAAACAAAAGTCAATAAAATATTTATTTTATAAATACAACTTGATTAAATTGTTTATGATTAAGCAATAAAATACAAATTCCAAGGGTTACCTAACAAATTTCTCCCCATATAAATAATATTGGCGAACCAAATTGTTTATGATGCAAAATTAAAAAATACACAATGTGGCCTAACTACAAGATACCTCGTAAATTTACTTATATTAAATGAATAGGTATTTCATATTATTTCTATTTTAAATTATATGAATATTAGAGTATACAGAATTTGTATATAAATATCTGCTAGTAGTACATAAATCAAACCAAATAACAAAACTGTAAACATTCCACGTACTTTAGCCAAATATTTTAAGAGGTCGAGAGTTTAAAAAGTAATCAATGTCAAGACCTTTGCCACTTGACTTCGGCACGATTTAGAAATTGTTTACATCTTTATATAAACAAACCAAAAGAAAAAAAACTTACCAACTCACTGCATTTTTCATGATTTAATAAACAATTGCTATTGTTATTATTATTGTTGTTGTTATTTTTGTGTTCGCTTTTGAGCAAATTGGCGCGTTTTGTAAACATTTTCCGAAGAGTCTTAAACAAATAGCGCACAAAAAGAAAGCAGACACTAAACAGGCAACGAGACTCTGATAATTAAACAGGTGAGAGTTTTCGAACTGACTTTTTTCCTCAACGCAAAAAATGAGAAAAAAATGTAAGTAATATAAAAAAAAGCCAAAACCCGCTGAACTTTCTCGACGAAGCTCAAAACTGCAACTGATATTTCTCTGCTGTGGTGTGGATTAAATGCAGCCAAAAGTGGGAAAACATAACTGAACACAGGCAAGCAGATATATATATGTATATATATATAGCTTGCTGGCCAACTATTGGCACGAAAAGGAATTCGCTAAAGCACAAATTGAATGTCTCTTGATGGCAAATCGTACCAGGAGAAATGCCATTGGAAATTACTGATTTGATAAGATATGGGTATTGCATATATATATTTATTATTTTGTAATAATTTGTCACTTTGTTATTGTTTGCATTCTCTTAAATATAACATGAAAACGAAATGTTAATATTCTTAAAAAAAAATTTTGAATATTTTTGTATTATAAATCTAAAATATTTAGGAAAGCGTTTTACTTTATTCATAACTATTTTTCTACTTGCTTAAGTTATGCAAATTAAAACCTAAACTCAAACGCCAAGTTGAATGAAGTTTCATGTAACGACTTGAGGGAATGGCATAATAACCACTGATATCTTCATCTTAGATTTATTGTTTTGAACTACGTAATAGTAATTACAAACAGAAAATATAAACACCATTAGCACTCGTGCCTAAGCAAAGATTGTATGAATTGCACAAATGTCTCAAGTTCACGTTTAAATTAATTAAAGTTTACATGCAACTTTGTAATTGCATTTACTTCGACTTTGTTAGGTAAGTCATGCAGCGAAATGAAAACCGAAAAAAAAAATGATGTAAAAACATATAAACAGAAAGTATAAATCCGTTAAGACTAGTAAATGCTCTGGAATAACCAGAATGTAATTTGCGATGAGTTTATAAATACCCTGGAATCAAGTAAGATTAGAAATGATCAACAATCAATCAAAATGATGGATAGAACGGACTCGCGACAAAAGGTTGATATACATATACATATATACATATCATACATATGCAAGAATAAGTAATTATTATTTGACTTATTATTAATTTATATATACATATATGCTATGATTAAATTATGTTACTAAAGTTTTTTTTTTGTAACTTTTGTCTATATACTTATATCTACTTTCAAGATGTTCATTGGGTTTATCGTTGTTAATTGAAGTCTGAATAAAAATATGAATTAGCACTTTAACAATACAATATGAACTAACAAGCCAATAATAATTATTTAACATGTATAGAAATATATTTGATTAGTTAAGAATAAGATTCGATTGTTCACATCGAATGTGAAATGACCCAAATATAAATTCAAAACAATTGTTACATATACAAAAACATCAAAAGCAAAATCAGTAAGATTTGCCGGTTAGCTTACTACAGTGGTCATTCAACCTATAGCTGACCAAGTTTTCCCACAAAAAACAACAACGGCAGTATGAGCGAGACACAGACGGAGAGTGAGAAATAAAGAGAGAGGCAACCAGAGAGCTATTTCAAGTTGTTAACAATTTGTTTGGTTGGCCCACAACATATTTACTTTGGCCACAAAAAAAATACACTTTCTTTTCAATTTATTTTCATGTAGTAAAAACAAATGTGTTTGTCTGTGTGTCATAAAAAAAAAAAAAAAAAAAAAAAAACAAGTGTACAAGTACTAAAAACCAGTTGATTGCATATTGCATAAGTTTTAACATTGCGTTTACCTTATCTTTGGAGCAATAAACTGTTTGCAAACGGATGGCTGACGGATTAAAGGCCTCGTCTACATATAGTGTTTTTCCAAAATATGAATATATGTATATACAAATTAGATCATCTTATTTTTTTGAGAGACAACATAGAATTGATTACATTTCAGGCCAATAGCTTTAAGATATATATATTTTTTTTCATACAGTTAAGATATCCAAACTTGCATATCCTCTAGCTTAAAACACAAATTTCAATCTTAATCTTTCTTTGCCACCGATAATTAGAATTTTTAGGCCCATTCTGGACTCACTTATTAAATTATTTGAACTAATTATTTTGAAAACCGTAATGTATTTAATTATTAATAGATTATTT